ATTGCAGTGAAAAATTGTGACAGGAGCAAATAAAAAATGCACAGAAACAGCTCAAACCGTTGGGCTGTCGGCGGTTTTAATGTCGCGGCTGTTCGGCGTCTGACAAACATTTAAAAAGAGGAATTATATTTATTACATGTTTACAATTTAAATACATGAAACTGGAAAGAAACACTTTTAAAAACGTGTCAATTAGTGTCACCACAACACACAGCTGTCCGCTCAGGTTAGATTATACTCGAAGGTGAATAATAATAAGAAGAAGAGCTGATCAGTTTTTAATTAATAACCCGCCTGGAATCCTCCCGACTCAGTAGCTGACTGGATACAGACAAATAATAACACATGTGGTGAGACGCATACAGACACACATACGACAGTCAGCACGCACAGAAACACATTCAGAGTCCTCACGGTACAGTTTTACTGAGCGTGTCCCAACAATACCCAGAATACAGTTTGTTATTACAGTCACAGTATCAGTACGTGTTAATGAGACTATTCATAAGTCAGAAAAGAGATAAAACATCACTTGTAGTTTCTCCTCAGAGCTCAAACCAAACAAATCGTCACATTTTAAGACTTTATTCGGTAATCAAGGCCGTTTTCTTTCTACGCTTCGTTCCGCTGAGTGCTTCCAATTCTCCAGACACCTTCCAGGAAATCTTTGTTCAACATGTCACCACGAAACGAAAGCCAGACCGCTCAGCTAAAAATAATGCAGGACCTTTTAAATACGAGACTGCAGTTCGCTTCTTGGAGGTTTAACGGTGAAAAGCTGTTTCTTTTGTTTTGTTTTGCATATTTATCTCCTGCTTCCTTCTCGTCTTCACATCGTAGCGTCTCTCACTTTCTTCCAGTAGTTCAGATAAACTTATATTTTTCTGTATTCCAGTGTTTCTTCACCTGTCCTCCCTAAATACTGCTCAGTTTAAACGACAAAACAGGAGCTTTTTTTATTGTATGGAACTCGAATAGCCGTTAAAAGCTTTCAAATGATGCTAGAAGTCCACGTCTACATCCATTATCTCTGGAACAGACTTCTCAACTTTGAACACCTTTGAATTGGTCCAATCTAATGAAGACAGCCAGATCTAACTTTTTTTACTGAAACCATGCCAAAGACGTAGTCGGTGTGGCTGCATTTTGTCCAAAAAGTTGAGCATAAACGTTAAAACCAGCAGTTTAAATATCCACCAGACTCGGATGTTATCAACCCATGAAATCACTGTAGGTCATTTCCAATCATACGGGCCAGCAGGGACCTCCTTTAAGTAGCCTCAGGACGCATTTTTCCCCCATTCATTCCCATTTATTCTCCATTCCGATCATTCATTAACAGAAAGAAACCTGTTGACAACCTCTTACAGTCATGCGGCCGCCCTTGGTGGAGCTATTACTCTGGAAACTTACAAAATCAGGCTTCATACATGTTTTAAACACAGCCACGGGGTGTATGTTACACTCCTATTCGCCAGTGTCCATGTACATGTCATTTAAACTGACTGTGAACACACCAACAGGATTGCGGTTTATCTCATCCTACACTGCGCAATGACAACGAACAGATTCTAATCCATTCTATCCGTTTTAATCCCAACCATGAGCCATTTCCAACCTTAACCAAGCAGCTTTGGTGGCCCAAACTTAACCAAACACACCTTAAAAGGCAAGTTAACACCAACAGCAAGTGAAAACAGAAGGCAGAACGAGACTTGAGCATAAAAATAAAACTATAATTACACTTGGAGACGGGACTCAACCTTAAGTCTTCAGAATAAAAGTTTGCTTAGTTGCGCCTCAATCTCATGTGGACGTTAGCTCCTCTTTGCTAGCGCCAAATCGCAGCTCAACCACAGCTAAACACGATCAAAACAGCCTCCTGAAACTACTAGAAGGTGGAGAAGATCCCAACTGGACTATTTGTATATTTGGGAATAATCTTTAAATCTCATTTAATGGGCTGAAAACATCCGAACATCTCAATAAACTACATCTAAGACCAGACTTGTTCACATCACACTCCTCAATAGTTCTTGTGTTGGGATCACCAGTCGATGCCGTTTTGGTACATTAAGTCCTACAGAGGTGTCAAACCCTAACAGCAACCTCATCAGCTTCATTTTTACTTGAATGTTTTTGCTACTTGACCGTTAGACTACAGAAATGGGGATGGCAGCAACAGAGCAGGGTGGAGAATCAGAAATGGGTCTAATTTCGTTGCTAGTATTTCTCATTAGTATTTTTTTTGCTATAATGCTACAGGGACTGTTTTCTCCGGGGACGGGGGCGGGGCTACTTACAGGTGTTAGGGGCAGGTGGTGGAGGAAGCTTACATTTATTCAGGTATTTTCCTCTTGGAAGGAGGCACCAGGTGTGCAGGCAGGTCTGACGGTAGTTCGTGTCCCTCCAGCTTCACTTTAATCAGATGATTCGCCAACGCAAACTCCTCGTCGTCCAGCATCCCGTCCTTGTCGATGTCTGCCAGCTTCCAGATCTTCCCCAGCACCGTGTTGGGCAGTTTCGACTTCACCATCTCCTTCTTGGCGTTGGCTCCCGTCACCTTCCCGTTCACCGGAGACAGCGTGTAGAAGATCTCGTCGTAGGCGGGTTTGTCGCGAGCCACCACCCACTCGGCCTCGTCGATGCCTTCGCCGGCTCCTTCGCCGTAGCCGTGTCCGAACGGGCCGTCCAAGGTGCCGTCGAAGGCGCCGCCCTTCACCACCGGGTTGGGCCGCTGGGTTTCCTCCTGCCGGACCAGCACCATCAGGCTGGCGATGTCGTTGGCCAGCATGTCATCGACGGCCTCCAGGAATTTGGGTTTCAGAGGCTGGAACTTGGTGAGATCCTGAGATTGGAGTTGGTCCTGGAAGGAAGGTATCGCAAATTAAGCTTTTATAATCTAAACACCATGTGTATCGTGGCCGTCTTAAGGTTTCAGTGACTCCTGTTGCCCTGAATTTTCTATGATGGAATTAATAAAACACACAAACCTTTGTCACAAAAACACAATCATGCATTTTAGTTCTTGTGTAAAGTTATTACAGGTCTTCTGGAAACATGACAAAATCTGCTGGGTCATAAATATAAACACAGTCATGCTAATATCTGGTTAACTGTCCTTTGGCCATTTTTATTTCAGCTAGGTGCTTTTGTTAGCCGTCCACAAGCTTCTGGTTGTATGTTTGACTCTCCTCTTGGTACACTTTAACTAAACTTGTTGTCTTTCTGACTCAGACTTGTTTCTTCATCAACGTGGTCTAAGTCAAGACTTCAGTCTAGAACCTTCATTCCAGCCTGATGGAACCATTTCTTCACCACTTTGATGTGTGTTTGGGCTCATTGTCTGGTTGGAACATCCACCTGTGTCCAAGATCAACCTTCTGCTGATGGTTTTAGGGTTTCCTGAAGACCATGGAGGTGATCCTCTTTGATCCAGCCCCAGAGCATGATGCTGCCACCTCCATGCTTGATGGTAGGTTTGGTGTTCTTGGGGTTAAAGGCCTCACCTTCTCTCCTCCAGACATGTTTCTGCTCAGTGTTTGTTCCATCTGACCAGAACTTTCCTCCAGGAGGCCTTTTCTTTGTCCATGTGACCAGCAGTAAACTATATTTACATTTGGTTACCTTATGCTACCTTTTTTTCAAATCTGACGTGGAGCCATCTAGAAAAATACCTCCAGCAGTGTGGACAGTTGTTAAATATCCACAATCTTTCCAAATACAGACAACATTAAAAAGCCCTTTTGGTGCTAACAAACCGTTTATCTTCAGCTGTTTCCCAACAGAACCTCTGTCATGACAAGCTAGAAAACGCTGAAGCAGCAGATTTAGTCATATTTCCAGAAGGCCTATAATAAATCTATGAAAGAACCAAAGTGCAGGATTGTTTGTGGTGACAAAGACCATTTGTTTCTGTGAATCCATCACAGGAAATTCAGAGTTTCAGGAGTCACTGGACACTCAAGACTGTCATAATATACGTGGTCTTTACAAGTGAACAGAAACGTTGGTTCTGTAAACCTAATCTGTAAATTCGTAACCTGGTTCTTCCTCGTTTACCTGCATCTTCTTCAGATTTGGGAAGTCTCCAGGAGATATCTGATGTTCTCTCTCGATGCGTTTGTAGATGTCTCCCAGGCTGCCGATCAGCTCTTTCTTCTTGTTCTCCTTCCCGAACACTGAAGGCATCTCCTTCTTCAGGGAGCTGATGATGTAGGCATGGACCTGTGAACAAAGAGTCGATGATTTGTTTCACTTATCAAGCAGCTCTATTTAAATCTCCAGCATTTAGACTTATTTCTGTTTGACTTGGCCTCCCCTGAAGCTGGTCGTAGTAATTTATGTTTAGTCCAGACTGTTTACGCTGAACGTTCTTATCTATAAATAGTTTTAGCAATATTTACACCAACACAGATATCTCTGCTCTTCAACATGTCAAACACCGGCTGCTTTGCTGTTCCAGATTACGTCGCTACGCAACATCTGGCACATGTGGATGCCACTCACGTCATTTTCACTCTCAAGCTAACAGGACAGGTCAATTAATCAGATATGAGGCAGAATTATCATTTTGCTTCTCATGATTGTATAGCTGACTGTGATATACTGACTTTTAGGGTGAATCTGACATTAGAACTCCTTATTTCACCAGTTTCAAACTCATTCTTTGGTCTCTCAGCCGTCTGAGCTGCAGTAACTGATGGAGACTAGAGGCTTCTCTGTGCACGGCCAGCTTCTACTCCCCTCGAATGCATCGCTTCTACTCGTCGGCTTTGCACAGACGAGCCTCGTGTTTGTCATTTTGCACAATTTTTTGACACATTCTGGTGAAATTTCAAGGTATTTTGGATGAATTTCAAGTAATTGTGGACATTTTTCAATAATTTTGGAGATGTTTTTGTCATTTCAGGCTACGGTACACGCTGCTAGGCGGCTGTGCACAGGGAAGCCTCTAGTCTCCATCAGTTACAGCTCAGGCTGCTGTGAAATTTAAAAAAATGTCTTGAAAAGAGTGAAATAAAGTGTTTTAATGTCAGATTTAGCCAAGAGGAAACTGAGCGCCACCCAGAAACACAGACAGAGAGCTACTGAATGTCAGAAACACTGATGCAACCAAAGCAAATAAGAAAAGAAACTGTCGCTGGAGCCCCAGTTTAGCATCTCTATGAGCGAGCTTATTTCTGTCACTGAGCTCCAAATTCCACTTTGCAGGATCTTTTTGTTCTTATGGTTGTTCTGTTCTCCACCTTCATTGTTATTAATATATGACTTTACAAATGGCTGAGCTTTAACATCCTGAGCGTTACACTGAAGTCAATAAAGGCCGCTTCAACCAGATTAATCGTCCAATAAAAGTCTCGCGTTGCCTTTTGTTGACGTTTGTCTTTAATATTCAACTCAAACCAAACATCATAAAAGTCACGGGAAAACCCATATTTGTTCTGCTGCCGCGGTGATAGGTGTGTGTTTCCCCGTGTTCACCTTGCGTCCTTGAGACACACACACACACACACACACACACACACACACACACACACACACACACTATCAGTTATCAAACAGGAAAGCTGTGCTCAACACTGGGTTTGATTAATCAGTGCTCGCTTGAGTGTTCATCCTCTGTGCAGAGGAAACAATTCACTCTGAGGAGAACGCTGTAAAAAATGATCTGTTACAAGAAAAATTCAAATGTGGCAGCAACGGTGCCAGAAAACATATGTTAGGAAACGGAGGAAAACTACTATAAAAAAACTAGGACAATAACATTAAACAGCTGTAACATAATTATATTTGTAGTTAATTTAAATACTGTAATATCATAAAAGATCCAATTACCACTGATAAAAAATAAAGACATGTAATATAGACATTATTTTACAATTTGTCCTGTTTGTTTTACAGTCAGCTTGTTATTTCTGTGATTTTAATTCATGTCATCTCGAACAAAACAGAAAAATCTGTAAAATAATATGAAAAAAATATGAATCATTTTCCAATCTTTAATAAGCATAACTGTTGTTTCAAATAATGGAAAATATATGTTAAATAATACTTTGTTCTGATTTAAATGTGTTTTAAAAAAACTGTGTTTAATGGTCAAACATTGGAAAACAAGAAATAACTAACTTGTAAAAATACAGATTCTGGATTCTGATGTTTTTATTTTATGATGTAATTTTACAAATTTTATTATAAATATCCTCAATATGCATAATTTTTCTTTTAAATAATTGAAAATATAAAATGACAATATTTTGCATATTTAAATCGAGTAAATATGCTGTAATTTAAACACCAGGTGTTAGAAAAGAACTAATTCATAAAAATACAGATTTTAATGTGGACATTATTTACAGGTTTTGTTTTTCTTACAGCCAACATGTAAGTTATCACTTTTTATATTTTTTTACTACATTTATTAGATATTATCTACAATTTTAACAAAACAAGGAAAATCTGTAAAATAACATTCATTTTTCAAAAAAATTAGAGTCAAGAAACCAGATTTTTTTTACAGTGTGGAGCCACATCTGTTGGTTCTGTGGCAGTGGGAAGATTTTCCTGTGAGACGTGATGAGGATAAAGAGGAAACACATCCTTGATACGGACAGTTTAATAACACGTCTGATTATTTCTGTTCTAACAGATGAACACCTGAGTGCTCACAACCTTTTAACGTTATGACTTTTCTATATTTCTACTTCATCCTTTACCTTGGCCAGTCTCGCTCTCTTGATCAGATCGTTGAGTTTCCTCAGCGCCGCGTTTCTCGGTAACGACTGGATGTCCTTAAACAAATCCTGCTCCTCTGCTTCGAACAGCTTCCTGTTGTCGGGGATCAGCAGCGGATGAGACCAGAACGAACCGATGTAGACGCGAATCACCTGGAAGTGAAGGACGGACGAGAAATCAGCTGCAGGTTGGACCGAAAAACACTAAACACAATCTGCAGCTAATAAAAGGTCTGTGGTGTTCACACAGTTGGTTCTGAGGTCATAGAAGTCCAGACTGTGGTCATTTTTGGTGTTTATAGGTGTTGAATGTCAAGACCAGTCAAGAAATGGGAGTGAATTCTCTTTAAATCCTCCATATTGGATCATTTCAACCCCTAAAAACCAGTGATTCAGCGACAGAAGCAGCCTGAACTAGAACTGATTTATTCTCCATAATGGAACAATCCAGTCACACCAGTAGTACAACAGAAAATACACATAATACGTATTGTTGGTAAAATAATTAGTCGGAAGGATAAAAAAACCAAGAACCTCCCATCTGTGATTAGTTTGGGTTCCATCCATTATCAGTCTGGCTGATTATTAAATAAGATATTCAGCATTTTTTAGATTATTAGCGTGAATTTTATAATTTTTTAATGATTTCTAATAAGATAAATTAATACATTATCTTGGGAAACTTGTGCGACTTTAAAATCTGTCGGTAAACTTTAGAAACGCCGACATGTTTCAGTGCTTTAATGTACCTCAGGGGTGTTGACTATTTTCCCCAAAGACCACATCAGGGCTCCGTAAACTCTCATCAGCTGCTGGGTCTCGATCTGGTCGGCCTTGTTCAGCACCACTCTGCACAAAGAGCCAAAACCGTGATTTATTTTATTTTATTTTGCACATATCAACATGAGCTCCAGGTCGAGACGAACAAACCAGGAACCTGATCTTGTCCTCGTGGTTCTTCAGGGCCTTTATCACCTCCGAGAACTCGTCGGAAATGTCCAGCTTGTGAGCGTCGAACAGCAAAATGATCCTGTCCACGCGCTCGGCGAACCACTCGAGGACGGCTGCAAAGTCATAGCCTGGAAGGAGGATGAAGAGGAGGAGGAGGAGGAGGAGGAGGAGGAGAACGTTGGGAAATTAAAGGTCAGTGGAAGGTTTCAGATAAGGTGAGCAAAATAACAGAATGTAAGAAAACAACCGTGCATCTTTTTTTATCTCCCAGCTGTTCCCTCTCGTCTCAGAATAACGCTCATTTAGACCCAAATGAAAGATTCAAGCTGCCAGTTTTCATGAAGGTTGTCTATAAGACGAGACGCCGCCACGTTCCCGCCACAGCGACTGCAGGTCAAAGAGGAGGCAGCAAGAATCTACACCCGTATTACGACATGTTGAGAGAAAAGAATGTGTGTTTACTGACGCAGACGTCGCTGCCAGAGTTCAGACAAAGTGGCTTTAAAGCTAAACGACAACGAAAGAACCCCAAAAAACTACCAACTCTACTTTCTGTAGCGTCACAAATGAGCTGCTTGTGTTGTAAAAACGTAAACGTGAAAGTAACGACGCACGAACGGCTCCGTACGTTTGACTTTCTCAAGGACGAAACCGAGTCTTACCTGCAGGAATTAAAACGAGACATTAGAGGAGAACAAAGGACAAAAGACCGGAGCGAAGGATTAGTGAGCTGTTTTCAACCAGCACAGCAGAGTCAAACAGTTAAATCAGTAATTATTATTATTATCATTATAATGATGAGCAGATAACAACCAGGAGGCAGTCTGTCAGGTGGTAGTAGGAAGCAGCTTTATGTGGAAAACCTTCAAACTACAAACCAAATCTTAAAGGTTTTTAAAGTTTTTCTACTCCTGATATAGATCTAAATCTGATTTTATGCATAAATGTGACGGTCTTCCAGGAACTAATGGAAGCTGCTACATCTAATTTATTTAACTTTTACTCGACTCCAAACTTTCTGCATTTGGTTCAAACTGAAAGACAAAAAGTCGACTCTGCAAACAGCATTTTGTGTGTCGCTCCTCTCAAAACCAGAACTGCAGCAATAATCAATTAGTTATGGGCTATTAAATGACCTACGACTGTTCTGATTGTTGATTTAATCGGTTTAGGCGTCCGTCTGGTTTCTTTCCTCCTCTGTGACAGAAAACTAAACATCCCGGAGCACTGATTGGCATTTTGCATCATTTTCTGACACTTTATGACCAAATAATCGAGAAAATAAGTCAATATTTGCAGAACTAGTAAAAAAACAGCAGCTAACTTGCCTAACTTTATCCTCAGTAGTTCTTGAGCTGCATCACCAGCTGATATGTTTTCAGACATCATATGAAACTGAGTCTGTTCATAACATTTAAGCAGAAAATAACCAGGATTAAATCATACAATACGCTCCAAATACAAGCTTCTGATGTGGATTCTGATTTCATTTAAGCTCATAAAGCTGCAGCGACTAGTTTAGTTTATCTATAGGAACACATTTGTTGTTTTCAACCAGTTGATTGGTTGAACAGTCGCTACGATTTTAGTCCATGAACACAGAAATCTCTCATTTTCTTTTCTTTTACATACTTGCTGCTCCTCCCAGTCCAGGAATAGCTCATGAAAAAGCTGAAGAAAGCTTCTAAACATAAAAACACACTCTGTCCATCTCGCAGTTCAATAAGTGATTTTTTGAACTGGAACGTGAGCAAAACGTGAACCGCAGCAGCAATAAGTATGTAAAACACTGAAAAAAGTTTATTTTAGGTTTCTGCAGAAACAGAGAACAACCTGCAGCTTAACAAACAACCAGATACCTTGATGTCTGGAGCTGTGCTGGATTGTTCTTCACTCGGTGCACTTGTCACATGTCATGGAGACGAGAACAACACTTAGTTTATGAGCTGAACCGAGCCAAAGGAACATTTATCTCACTAATTCACAGTCTATAAAACAGAGACGCTGGAGGGAAGCTCTTAAACACACACACAGTGAATCCTGCAGCTGATATTCTGGCCAAAGGATGAAACTAGATTAAAGGAGAATTACACCTAATTTCAACCTGCTGTGTTTCTCACTGTCGTGTTTATTGTGGCTCTACATGTCAGCGTTTAGCTAAAGCTCGCTGCAGTTTTCCAAAGACAGCTGGTCTTTACAAACCCTAATCCACACTGCATCTTCTTTTCCTGAGAGTTTTTTCTTCCGCTTTGATGGACACATTAACGGGAAACACAGCAGGTTGAAATAGTCCAGAATGATTTCGTAATGATCTCTGATATGACATTATCGAACTGAGAAACTGTAAAAGGCTCAGGATGTCAGCTTCCTCAACAACATGATGGTGAACTTCCAACCATGATGTAAATGTTGAGTTTTCCAAAGTCATGTGACAAGGCAGGTAAAGAACACAAATATATGACTGTATATAAAAAACGGACATAGCCACCATGCTGTCAGCCCATCAGCTTCAGCTTTAAAGCCTTGAGTTTGGCTGTCTTGGGTTTTTGAAACTAAACATCTCCTTCTTTATCGTCTATTTCCATCTATATGGGACGACAATTTACTAAATTAACATCATGCTGTATTCAGAAAGTCTCTAAACGAGCAATTGAGACCATAAACTTATAAGAAAAATGCTGAAGGAGGCAACAAATCAAGAGAGAATTTGGGTGATTTTCTTGTAAACTTCTATATAATCTGAGTCGCCCCCTGCTGGCTGTTCATAAGTCACCTGTGCATTGGCTTCTATGTCCATCTTTTGTATACAGTCTGTATTAACAGCCCATATGTTCTTCAAAATCAAGGTATCAATGTATTTGCAGCCTTTTTGCAGCTGCAGACAGATTGATTTTTCTACAATACCTCCATAAGGACATCTATGTAGGCTGCTATAGCCTGACAACTCCTCATCTGGACACACACACAATTAAAGACAAACAACAACAACACAATGCAACAGGGTGAAAGAAACGTAAAGAATGAGATGCACACATACATACAAATGAAACATGTACACGACAAATAATAAACAAAAAGATGGAAAGAAAACGAACACACAAAGATAAAACTTTGACGGCACACAAACACTCGCGGCCCTCAGAGAAAACACAGCTGTGCCGACTCAGCAGAGGTTAAGTTTAGCCGCTCTCATTGTTTTTCTACATCCAGCAGACGAAAGCAGAGCCTCACCTCACTGTGCTGATTATTTGGTTTGACAACACGCTCATGACACACTTTGACCGAGAAAAACAGACCTGATGTGGCTCTGCTTCGGTTTAAAGGTGGAATAATGTTGGATTTAACATCCTCCAGCCATTTTCACCAAAACTAGACATGTTTGGTTTCCATCCACCAGCTTCTGGTTGTAACTTTGACTCCTCTGGACAGAATTTAGCTAAAGTTGTTGTCTTAACGAGGGTTCTTGATTGGTTTAAGCCAGAACTGCAGTCTAGAACCTTCATTCCAGTCTGATGGAACCATTTCTTCACCACTTTGATGTGTGTTTGGGCTCATTGTCTGGTTGGAACATCCAACTGTGTCCAAGATCAACCTTCTGCTGATGGTTTGAGGTTTTCCTGAAGAACATGGAGGTGATCCTCCTTCTTCATTGTTCCATTTACCAAAACAGCCCCAGACCATGGTGCTGCCACCTCCATGCTTGAGGGTAGGTTTGGTGTTCTTGGGGTTAAAGGCCTCACCTTCTCTCCTCCAATCAGATTTTTGCTTATTGTGGCAAATAGCTCAGTTTTTTCACTTCATCTGACCACAGAACTTTCCTCCAGAAGGCCTTTTCTTTGTCCATGTGATCAGCAGCAGACTATACTCATATTTCTCTGTATCTGTTTTTCAAATCTGACATGGAAGTTAGCCATCTAGAAAAATACCTACATCAGTGTGGACAACTCCTAAATGTCCTAAGTTGTAAAATATCCACAATTTTTACTATTTCCAAATACAAACATCATTAAAAATCCCTTTTGGCGCTCACAAGCCATTTATCTTCAGCTGTTTCCCAACAGAACTCTGTCATGACAAGCTAGAAAACCCAGATCCCAGCAGACCAACGCGACTATGAAGTAATGAGCTGAACTCAGTGACCAGCACTTGATCTTGTTCCTGTGAAACTGCATATTTAGATATTTTAATATGTCAGCGCTCTGAATTTCATAACATCGCTCATGCATGACGGGAAGATATGAAAGAAATGATTACTGCAGCAGGGGAAGACGTTCTTATGAGAAATTCAGATTTAGCTGTGATGTTCATTAAAGGCTTCACATAATGAAGTACCACTAAACCTAATAACCTGCTTTGAGTGTGGATAAATCCTACAGTCTGACTGCAGGATCAGGCTCTGTTGTTACTGTGTACTGACAAAGCACAATTACTGCGATTGATGCATTTACTATGACGACAGTAAATATTATGAATGCCTACAGTCAAATAATTTGGGTTTTACTGGACGTGAAACATGAAAACACTCCAAAAACAACGTTTCAGAATGAAGAAACAGAGCAAGAATCCAGCAATGGAAGAAATTCAACGAGGCTAAATGCATTTAGGAGTAAATTATGAGTGCCTTTAGTTAGTGGAGCTCTTTTGTTAGCGCTAGCGGTTGGTATAGTGATGCCAGCGTTCAGCTTTAGGAATGCCGGCCATGCCAGACACTGATCCACCGGTGGGAAAGCTGAGGAGGGAGTCCTGTAAGCTTCTCTTCACGCTGTCGTGTCTGCGGTTTAGTTCTCACCACGGCTGGAATCTGTGCACCACCGCTTAATGAATGTGTGATTATTTCACATTACAGCCGCAATTTTGAACAGTTTGAATCAAGAGACACGCAGGAGTGAATAAGCAAAGAGTGTCAGCAGGATGTTCCAGGTAACTCACTTCCCTGTCCATTAAACTGGAATTTAAATTAATCTAAACAGTCAAAATTCAGCAGAGTTTAACAATAATATTAAAAGTAATGCTGCATGTAGCATTTAAAAGTCATTTGATGTGATACTCCACAGAACATTGCACCTTATCCTCCAAAACATGACAACAGCTCACTAAATTAAAGTTTAAAGTAAAAATCAAAACCCCCTGCAGTTTAACCTTCACCTGTCCGTGCTGAGTTTGGTCACACATTGCTCCAGTTGAGTGGCTAAAGTCAAACCAACCAATCAGACAAACTGCACTGGTTGTACTGGATGTGTCCTACTTTACACTTTGGGCTGATTCTCACGCAAGATAAGAGATGCAACAGTTAACCAGTTATGCATAAGTAAAATATTAAAAATGTGTTTAACTGACTAATATTTCTGGTGCCAAAGACACATTACAACATCGGTACTTTCTCTTTCTTCGTGCAATAATGAAATAAAGCGTCAAGGTGTCTTTGCCAGGAGGGGTGTTAATGATTAATTGTCAATAATTCATTGCAATTAATAATTTAACCGACCAAAAATGTACTAGCTAACAGGGCAGAAGACAAACGAGGAACATGCATGCCAGAAAATGAAATGCAAATTTGCTGTATTTCCTGGTTTTGCCACCAGGTGGAGCTTCTTGTTGTTTAATGAGAGGGAGTTACAGGTGTGTTTGGTGACGCCCCTAAAGGTGCATAAACCAAGCGCACCTCCCTGCTGTCTGGCTGCTAACTGTGTCCGTCACGTTGGTGAAATCTGCAGCTTAAAGTTGTAAAGAGGCTAGCTACCTGCTTGCTAGCTCATGCTAACAGCGCTAAGCTAGGATCTTCGCTACTGCATCTGTTCTTCAAATGTCTGGGCTTTAGTTAAAAAATCATCATCAGTTAGCATACAGCAAACATCCACTGGACTCGTCTCAACCACTGCTACAGATAAAATATATTAAAATAAATGAGATATTATAAAATAAAACAAAACACAAAACAACCCGTAAATATAAAATACGAAATAAAACAAAGCATGCTCAAGGGGATCCAGGGAATTCTTGGATTTGTTAGCTTTTCATGTGTATTCTTGTAGAGTCAAAACTTTAGCTCTAAATCGATTAAATCGACTAGATTCGATTTAGAATCTAGTCGATTTCATATTAATAGGTAATAATCTTTTAGGGTTTTAGCCTTTAAAGTAGTATTTTATACATTTTTTGGAGGCTTTTATTTGCTCATATGTAAATGATCACACCTTAAATGACGCCAGAGAGTCTAAACTCCAATATTTAAGCTCGTTAGGTCATTTTATAAAACAGTCCAGTGTCTGTTCGTCTCTCCGACACGCTGAGGTCTGAAATCTGTGGATGACACAAACAGAGCTGCTACCAATTAAGACTTTTGTTTTGTTTCTGTCATTACAGCCACTCGGTCCGTGAAAGCATGTCGTGGTCCGACCGCTGAAACACTCACTACAGGATCAAGTTCAAACAGGAACATTTAAATGGCTTTTTAAACGGTTTTATGGTTCTCGGGTTGCAATTTCTGTTTGAAGGTAGTCGTTCCCACAAACGCTGGATTTTCTTTGCGACGTAAATCTAAAACATGTGTGACTGCTTCTTGTTTTGTTTTTTTTTCTCGGTAAGTGGAACATTTTTGCCTTTATTGGACAGTCAGCAGTGAAGAGCCAGACAGGAAATACAGAGCGATGGATGATGCAGTTACAGCAGACTCTGTAACCACTCAGCTACCGACACACCCCATATATGTTAGTCCTATTACAGCTGCAGCTCTGCTTGTTTTCATCATATGCATTTTCCATGTTTTAACGTCAGTGCAGTGAAAACTGATCCAGTGCTTTAAAAACTCGTCACCACCCTTGGAAGGTTCCCTTTTAATTGCTTTTTAATGTGGACTTGTGGTAAATAGAATTAATCTTTTCTGACAATAATTCCCGAAAAGAAGATTTTCGTGTCAAAGTGAAGACAGATTTCTACACGACTTCTCCAGGGAATGTAAATTAATTAAAAATATGAAACGTAGAATGAGTGATTGCAGAAGCATACGCCCCTTTTGAAATGACTCACCTAATTCAACACAGGTGCAACTAATGGGTGCTAAAAGTCCCACAGTCAGTAAAATGGAGCTGGTCTGAGGTCAGTGAATGAGTCTCAGTGATTGTAGGATAAAGACTCCTGTATCTGGAAGGTCCAGTCACTGGTGGATCAGTACTCCTGGACAGAACCACACCGTGAAGACTGAAGAACACTCCAAGAACTCTGGGAAATGTTGTTGAGACGCATCAGTCAGGAGACGATACAAGAACATCTCCAAGTTACTGAATGTCTCCTGGAGTCCAGTTAAATCCATCATTAAGAAATGGAAGGACTACGGAACATGATAGATCTGACCAGAGCAGGACCTCCTCAGAGACTGGAGCAAGAAGGAGACTAGTGAGGGAGGCCACCAAGACTCCTATGACTCCTCTGAAGGAGCTACAAGAAGGAGACTAGTGAAGGAGGCCACCAAGACACCTACGACTCCTCTGAAGGAGCTACAAGAAGGAGACTAGTGAAGGAGGCCACCGAGACACCTAGGACTCCTCTGAAGGAGTTACAAACTTCAGCAGAAGTCAGCTGGAAGAAGCTTCTTTGGTTTGACGAAACCAAAATGGAACCTTTTGTTTTGTTTTGTTGGACACCAAACACTGCACATCATCACAAACACACCATTTGCAGTGTGAAGCACGGTGGTGGCAGCATCATGATGAAGCACGGTGGTGGCAGCATCATGATGTGGGGATCTTCTCAGCAGCAGCCCTGGAAGGCTTGTGAAGGTAGAGGGTGAATGAATACAGCAAAGTATAGAGAAATCTTTTAGGACATCCTGAGGCAGTCTGCAGATGAGCTGAAGCAAACAGCCAAAGCTCCACAGAAATGGTTCAAAGACAACAAGGGGAAGTTCTGGAGGTCCAGTCAGAGTCCAGAGCTCAGTCCAACTGAGAATTTTGTGTCTGGTCATTAAAATGGCTGAACAATCCTGATTCCTGTGTCACCTGACTAAGATAAGAAAAATGAGGTGAAACTGCAGCGTCCAGATGTTCAGGCTGACTGAGACCAACACAGACTCTTGCTGTAACAGATGTGCATCTGCTAAATACAGACTTGAAAGGGGTGAACACTTACGTCATCACTTATTGTACATTAAATGATTTAATTAACTGACATTGCTTTGTAGGAATTTGTTTTCACAGAGTCTTTTCTGTTCATTCTTGTCCAATCAAATTCACTGTGACTCAATGCTGAAGGCAATAAAATAGAAACACTTCCTTTATAAGCACTGCATGTGATTCTTCCTTCATCTGCAGCAATGTGCATTTTTCATGTTCAACCTTTAACACGGAGTGAAAACTGTTGAGCGAGTTGTGTGCGTGCATGTGTGGGTGAAAGAGCACAAACCAAAGCTCATCTTTCTGTCACTGCTTCCTGTCCTTTGAAATGAACGAAGCATAATCCTCCTGATAGCAAAAGCTAAAATAAACGCCACACAAATGTCCAAAGGAAACGCTGACTTTGTAGTTCAGAGTTCAGTGTAGAAGGGGAGGGAGGGAGGGAGGCTGCAGCTGAATGAGTCCACACAAACAGAGGGATGTAGAAAGAGTTACCTCGACTGATTCGCTGCTTCTCCCCGGACAGGATCCCCGGAGTGTCGATCACGCTGATGCTCTCCAGCACCGGGTTGGGAAGCTGAGCGCACACAAACCTGCACGTGGACAGAAGTGTAAAACGTTTTAACAACAAACAGCGGCTCTGCCCTCCCCGCCTCGCTCTCCCAGCTGAACAAACAGCGACAGGTTAGCGGTCGTCCTCGCTGTGAACCCTCTAATCCTAACCGCCGGCACTCGCGGCGAGGACGTTGCTGCAGGAGTTGGCCTTTTTCTGGAAGCATGACTGTGCAGAGATGCCTGGCCGTGTCACACACACTCGGCCGCTAACAGAGGAAAGCCTGAGCAGCGAGCAGAGGGAAATTCAATCACGCAGGAATGTCGAGTCGCGGTGTGGATTCTCACTCGTACTCTCTTTGCTCTTTCTTACCCGCTGCCTTCTTGAGCCTGTCCCTCTACGCTCACCTACTTCACCTCGGTATGAGCGAGCTCGGTCTGGGCGACACAAACATGTGCTGGAGAAAGACACTGCAGGAAAACAGCTTCTCTTGGTGGAGTCTGACCTTGTTGTCCATGTGGTGCTTTTTTATATGCTAGAAGACACATCATGACTGAAACACAGTGGCTATATGAAGGATTAACGCTTCTTTGAATTTAATTTGGCTTTTTGGACTATAAATGACAAAATAAAGACTCTTTCATGTCAAAGTGAGGACAGATTTCTGCACTAATTATAAATATAAGCGTATATAAGTTTTCACACGTTTCAAGTCAGTCTTTAGCAGATGCACCTTTGTTACAGCATTGATCCTGTGTTGGTCTCAATCAAAGACTAAACACCTGGATGCTAAAGTTTTACCACATTATTCTTTCTAAAACTGACCGAGCTCTTTTCAAGTCCAAACACAAATTCTCAGTTAGATTGATGCCTGGGCTCTGACTCGGCTACTTCAAAACAATCCCCTTGTCGTTTTTCAACTGTTTCTGTGTAGCTTTGACTGTTTGGTTGATGCCTTGCAGACTGCATCAGGTTGTCCTCCAGGTCTTCTCTACACTTTGCAGCATTCATTTTACCCTCTACTGCTACAAGCCTTCCAGGACCTGCTGCTGAGAAACATTACCACATCATGATGCTGCCACCACCGTGCTTCACGTCATGATGCTGCCACCACCGTGCTTCACGTCATGATGCTGCCACCACCGTGCTTCACGTCATGATGCTGCCACCACCGTGCTTCACGGTGAGGATGGTGTGTTGGTGATGATGTGCAGTGTTGGCCTAACATAGCATCTAGTCTAATGGCCACAAAGCTCCATTCTGGTCTCCTCAGACCAAACAAACGTCTTCCGGTGACTTCAGAGTCTCCACATGTCTTCTGGTGAACTCTGGTCCAGATTTAATTTGAGCTTTTTCCAACAGTGTCTTTCTCTTTGTCTCCCATAAAGCTTTGACTGATGACGAACACACAACAATTGTATGAACAGTCTCCAACATCTCAGCTGCTGAAGCTGGAACCTCCTTCAGAGGAGTCCTAGGTGTCTTGGTGGCCTCCATCACTAGTCTCCTTCTAGTTACTCCTTCAGAGGAGTTCTAGGAGTCTTGGTGGCTCCGTTACTCGTCTCTTTTTGCTCGGTCACTCAGTTTTGGGTATTGACTCACCAGTTTCACTAACTTGTCGTTTCTAGCACTAATTAGTTTCACCTGTGTTGAATTAGTCGTTTTAAAGCAACTCATTTTTAATTAACATTACTTTGTAGAAAACTGTTTTCACTCTGACATGAAAGAGGCTTTTCCTTTAATCATGAATAAATGCTGAAAGCAATAAAAGCAGATAAGTTCAATCGAGCTGACTACTATACGCACTTTAAGTATGGGGACTTTTACATCAGTCTTTTTCCAGCAGCATCGCCCAGCCATAGTATAAAACGCTATACTTTACACTGCTCACATCTCCAAAAACACCTGCTAACATCTGCCTTTGGTGCATTTAACTGAGATGTCTCTGGGCCTCTACCTGTTGAGAAAAGCGTTTCCGAACGCGTTCAGCTTCCTGAAGGGCTTCTTGGGGTCGACCACCAGAGCGTTGCCGGGGATCACTCCTTCGGTGTCGCCGTGCATCACCGCGATGAAGGAATCCGTGGTGGGCTCGGGGCCGATTCGCATTCCTGGAAAGTCCTGCTCCAACAGGTAGCTGCAGGTGAGATGGAAGGAGGTGGCGTCAAGACCAAACAAGATAAAAGGATGATCAGGTAAACGCCATGTGAGAATAACTCAACCGTATATAAAAACCCATTTGGTATGCCGGAGTAATCCTCCAGATCAAGTTACCGGAGACAAAGAACAATGGTGTGGAGTGTTTTATGTGATATAAGCCCACTGAAATGATCATTATATTCATTTTTAAGCATCTGTACGAGTTCACTTTATGAGAATACAATGTACTAGTGCTAAATCTGCAGCCTCCAGTCTGACATACATACTTCATGCTTTTCCATTACAGCTATGCTGAAGAGGAACTGGTCCGTATGGTGAGACAAAGTTCAAAAATAACCAGAAAACCGGTCTGCCTTCAATTAGGTGCTGCTGGAACAGAGATTAGGGGAGTTTTACATGATCGTGGGCTGGACGGCTGCCACGCGCCAGCAACAGAAGAATCAGATCTGCTGCAGACCACATGGACACAGAAAAGGCCTTCAGGAGGGACGTCCAGTGACCAGGTGAGACCAAGATGGAGGACACTCAGGTAAAGACTCCTGAACACAGGCAGGTTCTTACTGTGAGTGAGCAAAGTATGAGCTATCATGCATATTTTCAATGACAGATTTTTGTATTTTTGTGTATTTTTCACATATTTAAAGTGGAAAAAAGTCATTAAAATCACAGTTTATCAGTATTTTAGAATCTGATGACAGTTTGTGTGTTTGTTCAGATTAACTTCGGTTTTGAGGGTGAAACAGAGAGTTCAGCTACTTTTAGTCATTTTAATATAATAAAACATACACATCCATGGATATTTAACGTCACACAGAAAGTTTTGTCGCCACCAACGTAACCAACAGATGCTCCTGTTTGCCGTACAGTCCCTGGAGACAGCTCGGTAATCTGTGCAAGTAAATGGATTTTTGGCATTTTTTTTTGCTCCTTAAAACTTTTCAGTTGCACACTTTTTCTTTTTACAGAATCTGCTGCAAACTGCTTATTTTTGTTGATTTTTTTTAAAAACGAGACACGAAGAATAAAGTGATTTTGATAAAATATCTCGATTTTAAGCTTAGATTTGGTTATTTTACTGACAAAACTGCACGTCAGGTCTGACAAATGTTGTTTTTTAAAATATTTTTTGCTAATTTTTTAACAATAACGTGTCTTTTGCACCTGGCGGCGGGTTTTCCGGCTTCAGAGGGTTAAATCAATGAAAACACATTTAAATCAAAGATGTTTGCAGCCTTCACGTTGAAATAACAGAAGCAGCAGCTGTCTGTGGTTTTGTGCGACGTTAGTGATAGTAAACATCTGTTCTAACTTGAATATTAGTGAATATGCTTCTCAAACATGTCAAACTCCTCTTTTAAGAATAGCAGTTTTTAGTCAGTTTAAAGCTGAGAATGTGTCAGAAGTGACTCGTGCTAAATAACGAACTGCACAAAGTGGACGTAATGACGAATAAAGACTGATTTAATATTGTTATGCTGACGTTTCCAAAGTCCCAAACAGACAATGTGCAGACTGGACGAACTCGACGCTGCTCTTCATCTTCTGAGAGCGTAAACGGTTAAACACACGACCCTGCCGGAGGCTTGTTTGCTCACAGACGATCAAAAACAGCTGACAAAGGTTTGGGGACAGGAACACGCACTTCTATACGTCCTGCAACATAAAAATTAGTTCTGCTGCAGAAACTATTCCGACTTTATCTCCACCAGCTGACAGGCGTGAAGGTTTGAACCCTCAGCTGCCGACTCGGTGACATCACACGAGCCTCAAATGAAGATGGGTGCGTTTTCCACAACCCCGACGGTGTAAAAGCAGATTTAAAAGGCGGAGATTTACGGCTGGAGTTTAAACGGCGAGCGTGGGATGTTAACCGGCAGCAGATGTACGGATGGTTCCACCTCGGCGGTGCCTGGTGGAGCCGTCTCTCTGCACAGCGGTCTGTTCAGTGGGAGCTGTAGCGCCGGTGCAGGGGTCGGGCGACGCTCATGCAGGAGACTGCATGTTTGAAATGGCAGATACAGCGCAGGTGTGTGCAGCTCGGGTCATGTTGGTCTGCTTTCATGAGGTTTAAAGCTCTGGAGCTTCTTCTTTCCAATCAGATTAAAGCACGAGAAAATGTGTTCGGTCACCTTGAAGGAAAACTTATATTCTGATAATGACGCGTTTTTTTGGCAACCGGCAGGAAAATCAATAAATTCATCCCAAAACTGCTCCAGGCTCAGATTGCTGATCTCTGACTGTATTACCCTCCATCAGCACCTCCTCTCTCTCTCTGTTCGCTGCCAGTCGGATATTCATTTACAGTTTTCGTATTTCATATCAAAGCAAATATGATTTTAAACCTGCAGGATGCAACTTTTGTCTCCACCTTCTCACAGTATTTTCTTTTTCAGACTGCATTCCTTCCTCAGAGGTTGATTTTGTTCTCATCTGCAGCCTCAGAAACTTTTCTTAGACGCTTCTTCGGTTCTTCCTCCATAGACTCCATCACACTCACAGCTGCAGCTACTCCATCACTATGATGGTACCACCAAGTTTATGGTTCTGAACCCCAAAACCTGCTGGTGGATTTTTAAAAATCACCAAAAACACGAAGTCAGAAGTTGTGAAAAGAAAAGAAATTGTTGCAATTGTTGCTGATGGTGGAACATCTTTCTACATCTGATGGTGGAACATCTTTCTACAT